ATAGGAAACATTTCTGAAATCTGCTGATACAGTCGCCTTTCAGCAGTTTTCTTTGTATTGAAATGACAGGTTGTTTGATGGACGAGTGAATGGAGGGGTGGCACTGCTGGCCGACCAGCATGTGCCCCCATTATCTGTGTCCCTCGATACACACTTGGAGACTGTAGCCATCTGTATTTTCTTTGGTCATACCATCACTGTTTGTTCTCTCTACCTGCCTCCTGGCGATACTTATGATCAATCATACCTTGATGCTCTGGTTGATCAGTTGCCATCACACTTTTTTACTTCTGGGAGACATTATTGGACAAAGCCCTCCCTGGGGTGGTGCTGATATTGATGGGAGGGGTCGTTTTGTAGAGTGTATGCTCTCAGATCAAAACATTTCTTTCTTCAATACTTGAGCATATACTTATTTTCATGCACCTAGTCAGTCTTTTACTGCCATTGATCTCTCGATTTGCGCCCCTTCACATTTCACTCGCTTTTCTTGGATGGTCGACAGTGACCTACAGGGCAGTGATCATTTTCCTATCATTATGAGGGAGGTTGGCCATGGTCGATGCCACCTGACCCGAGTGCCATGGTGAAAGTTGGACCAGGCTAACTGGCCATCTTTCACCTCTCTCTCTGAACTTGATCCTGCCTTTGTCTGTCTACCATCGATAGACGACTGTGTGGTTGAAGTGACTGACTGTATCATCCAGGCAGCTGCTCATTTTATTCCTAAGATCTCGACACGTTTTCCACGGTATTCTCGTCCATGGTGAAGTCCTACATTCCAGGAGGGATAGAAGGCTCAAAAACGAGCCTGGGATACTTTCTGACGTTATCCCTCTCTTTCTAACCACATTGTTTATCAGCGGGCCTGTGCCCATGCTCGGCAGGTTCGACATCAAAGCCAAAGGGAGTCTTGGATTAAATTCACTACCAGCATGTCTTCTACCACCAGTTCCAAACCTGTATGGGACAAAATTCGGAAAGTCACTGGGAGGTATGCTTCCCATCCCCATTCCATCTTGCCCTCCAATGACCAGGAAGTTGCTGATGTCCAGAGCATTGCTGATGCTTTCGGCCACAGCTTTTCTCGTGTTTCTAGCACTTCTGTTTCTTCCCCTGCCTTCTTGGTCATCGAGTCTCGGGCAGAGCGATCACCTCTTTCCTTTTGGGCCGATCATCTCTATGATTATAACCACCCCTTCACACTGGTGGAACTCAAACTTGCTCTTCATTGGTCTGGTAGTTCATCGGTCGGACCTGATGATGTTCATTATGAGATGCTGAACCATCTCTCTCCTGCCTCTCTTGCTATTCTTCTGGTTATTTTTAACCAGATCTGGCAGGAGCATATTTTTCCTGATGCTTGGCCTCAGGTTATTGTTCTCCCTTTCTCTAAACCTGGGAAGGATCCAAAAATTCCTTCTAATTATTGTCCCATCACTTTGACTAGTTGTCTTTGTAAGGTCCTAGAGAGGATGGTTAATACTCGTCTTGTTTGGTTCCTCGAATCAAACATGCTCCTCTCGCCCACCCACTGCTGATTCCGTCGAAAACACTCCACTGTGGACCATCTGATTCGACTTTAAACGTCAATCAGAGAAGCCTTCCTCAAGAGAGAACACATTGTTTCAGTGTTCTTTGATCTCGAGAAGGCTTATGACACTACGTGGAGGTATGGCATTTTGCAGGACCTCCACTCCTATGGGATGCGTGGCCATTTACCCATTTTTATTCAGAATTTTTTACTGAACAGGCGATTCCAAGTCCATGTGGGTTCAACTCTTTCCTGTTCCTTTCCACAGGAACTTGGAGTCCCTTATGGCTGTGGCTTGAGTGTCACACTTTTTAGTGTTAAAATTAATGCCATCACAACTCAACTTCATCCGACTGTTGCAAGTGGGCTCTATGTCGACGACTTTCATATCTCGTGTCAATTGTCGAACATGAGGTTTATTGAGTGGCAGCTTCAGACTGCCCTCAATCACTTGCTGACGTGGACCACTGCAAACAGTTTTACATTTTCTTTTTCCAAAACCGTTTGCAATAATTTTTGCCATTAACGGGGTCTCCACCTTGATCCCCGAGCTCCGTCTCGGCGATATAGTTATTCGTGTGGTCCCTGAAGCAAAGTTCTTGGGGCTTATCTTTGACCATAAGCTTAACTTTATTCCGCACATGAATCAGCTACGTGTCAAGTCTGCAAGGGCTCTAAACATCCTCCGTATCCTCTCTTCCAGCTCTTAGGGAGTGGATCGATATTCTATGCTCAGGATCTATTGTGCCCTGATTCGATCCAAGGTGGACTGTGGGTCTTGAAGATGCTGGACCCCGTTCACCATCAAGGTCTTCGGCTCTGCACCGGGGCTTTTCACCCTTCTCCAGTCCAGAGTTTGTACACTGAGTCCCACGAACCTCCTCTTTACCTCCGTCGTTTGCAACTTTCTTTACAATATGCTGCCAAGCTTCGATCCTTACCATGGCATCCCACCTAGGATTGTGTCTTTCTTCCTCGGTGGGCCATGCTCTTTCAGAGCAGACGGTCTGCAATTCCTCCCTTTGGCCTTCGTATATGGGCACAACTGGCATTGGATGACATTGTTATCCCCAATTATCAGCCCATTCCGCCATGGCTTATTACCATCCCTTCCTGTGACCTTTCCTTGAGTCATCTGAGGAAGGCGGATACTCCCGATTGGAAGTACCATCTTCTTTTTGCTGAACATCTTTCGAGCCATTCTTCTCTTCCTATTTTCACGGATGCTTCGAAATTGGGTGACTCTGTAGGTTCTGCCATGGTGTGCTGTGGCTCGGTAGTTGCTCGCAGGATCCCCCTCTACAGTTTCTGTATTCACTGCCGAGTTGTATGCTATTTCTCTTGCTCTGGATCATGTAGAAGCTATGCAGTACAGTGACTGTACTATTTACACTGATTCTCTTAGCTCTCTACTGGCCCTGGAATCGCTTAACGTTAGTTCTCACCATATTCTCGTCGATATTCAACAACGACTGGCCCATTTTTCTCTATCTTCTGTTTCTATTCAGTTTTTCTGGATACCTAGCCACGTCGGTATTCACGGGAACGAGCTCGCTGACACCGCAGACAGACTTAGCTGGTGCCGTCAGATGTTTTATAAGGGTTTACCCCTGACGTTGGACAGTGTCATTGGCGATGGTGACACTCTCCGACTTGATTATATTTTAGATTTTTTACGCACTATTGGTCTTTTTAATTGTATATAAATCTTTTATCCAAATTTTGGACATATTTTGGTTTCAACTCACTGTATTTTTACATTTTGCTATAATTTACTTTCACTGTTTTTACCGATTGTTTGGCGCAGATAGCCTCGTTGCTTTGCGCTATGAAACAACCAACCAACACGATAAAACCATATTTTAATGGTTTTTAAGTGATTTTCGCTATCGTAAAGTATTCTAAAAAGTACCTATTCCATTAGCTATAAAAAGAACTTTTTCTATTTATGGTTTAAGTAGAAGTGTGTGTGCGTGGCCTAGTGGTTAGTCCGTGATCGAACTGACCAAGGTTCGAGACATGAGGACACTGAACATGTTCCACACTTCCAACTATGGAAGTGTTATAAAAGTGGCAGTCAGCTTCCGATATTCGGTTCAAGAGGCGAACAAAGTCCTGATAGCGTTAAAAGCTGCTGGCTGGTCAATAGTTCAAAATGGTGGTCGGCTACATCTGAGCCCTGACTATTTAACTAGAGAACAAAATCAATTCCTTATCGTACATAACTTTTATATAAAACACAATTACATACTAACTCGTTTGTGCGTGAGAACAAGATCAATTCCTTATTGTACATAACTTTTATATAAAACACAATTACATACTAACTCGTTTGTGCGTGAGAACAAGATCAATTCCTTATTGTACATAACTTTTATATAAAACACAATTACATACTAACTCGTTTGTGCGTGAGAACAAGATCAATTCCTTATCGTACATAACTTTTATATAAAACACAATTACATACTAACTCGTTTGTGCGTGAGAACAAGATTAATTCCTTATTGTACATAACTTTTATATAAAACACAATTACTTACTAACTCGTTTGTGCGTGAGAACAAGATCAATTCCTTATTGTACATAACTTTTATATAAAACATAATTACATACTAACTCGTTTGTGTGTGAGAACAAGATCAATTCTTCATTGTACATAACTTTTATCATAACGGAGCATTTAAAAACACAAACAAGGCAATCAGATTTGTTTTAATTACTACTACGTGATATTTTAGGTACCAATTTATATTTAAATATTTGGTTAACAAACTGATGTATTCGAAAATAAATCCCAAATATTTTCTATTTCTAGCTGAGCACATGATGCCACGTATCAAACAATATATATATTTGAGAGACGAGTGTGGTTGAGTTATTTGCTATGTTGATGTCCGTGCTATAGGTTTCATAGAGTACGCTTCTGATTGCTGACAGCACTGATCAGTACTGCAGAAAAGGACTCAACACAATTAACTTGCAACATACACGATTTAGCTAGAGCAACGCAAATACTATTCCCACTTGTTAGAACCTCGTTAAGCCGTTAACATTTCACTCCAATAATTATTACTCGAGAACTTTCATGGTGTTGAAGTTTGTCACCTATCTAGAGTGAAATACGTTTGTGCACGCTGTTTATATATAAGAAAGTCGTGCTGAATGTTTGTGCAAATTAATAATCTAGGTAGGTACAGGTTGAATACACTGACATACAAGTGCTCGTACAAATGTGTATTTTTATAAACCCAGCTGTGCGATCTTTATAACCCATATGTGTATACTCAAACAGACATTTCTATCACAAGTGCACCAAGTAGGCGAGCATCCCTCGTGCTCTTCTCGCTCTGTCACGTGGCTGTTCCCATAGCACTTCGCGCGCGACTGTGGAAAATCAGTTGGAAACAGCCGGAAGATATTTACTCAGTTCTTGGAAATATACGAGTTTCTCCTGAAGTTTAATGTTCATTAGGAAGGTGAATCTGGAAAAATAAAAGTGAAATATTGTGGGTTTCTAGTACTTAAAGGTAGAGAAAAAACCATTACTGTTGTTGTTCATCCTGATTTCTTAGAAAGGTAAGTTCAGGCTTTTTCACGTGCGTTGTTTATATCTTTATGTGTAACATCCCAAAGTGCATACTGCGTTTAGCTGTTGTATTTTTACCTTGTTACTCCTCCTGTTTGGTTAATTTTAGAGGAATGAATTGTGTTAATAATAATAATATAATATTGTCTACACTTTACCGATTCCAATAACAAAAGTAATGAAGTTGAGTTTCGAACGTCTGAGTCCAATAATAAGTGTGTACGTTTGATTCATATATAGGGATCAAAATTATAAAACAATATAATTGTTATAACACACATAAACATACATAACTGTTGAAACGTGTCACATTGGTAAATAAATGCTGTGCAAGATAAACGCTTGCTCACGAAACGTTTTACATATGTACTTTACACTCACGTATATATACTGTTTCTGTATTGAAATATGTAAATACGTTTCAGTGCATTTATCCACTTATTCTTATGGAATATTATGAGAAAGTGTGACTTTGTGTGTTAAAGTTGCAGTGTATTTATTCACTTATTCATATGGAATATTATGAGAAAGTGTGACTTTGTGTGTTAAAGTTACAGTGTATTTACACACATTCTTATGGTGTAGTATGACAAAACGTGACTTTATGTATTAAGGTTGAAGTACATATAATTGTATACTTATTCTTCTGGTGTATAGCGGAAAAATGTGTTAGAGTATTAAAGTTGAGTGACTTTATACATATTCTTATGGTGTATTATGAAAAAACGTACCTTCATGTAAGAAATTTGCAGTGAATTTGTACATATTTTTATGATTTGTTATGAAAACATGTGATTTCATGTATTAAAGTTGCTGTGGATTTACACACTTATTCATATGATGTATTAGGGAAAAAACGTGACTATTTATTTCATATGAAATCATGTCATCTGCAGTAATAAAAGTCAGTTGTACTTCCCTGGTTTATCTTCAAGAGGGTGCAACAGTACACCTTGTTAACCTGGGCTATTCTGTTTCTTGTTATCACGCCCAGACATCCACACGTATATAGGGGTGACTTTTTATAAAATACATTAGTACTCAGTGTATCTTCAGGACGAGTGCTCGAATACACTTTCTTCCCTGTGACTTTGAAAACTATTTAATAATTTAATAAATATTGAATGTTTTTTTAACTTGCGTTACAGGGGAAATTTACACTTTCTTCCCTGTGACTTTGAAAACTATTTAATAATTTAATAAATATTGAATGTTTTTTTTAACTTGCGTTACAGGTGAAATTCACCCCTATACGAACGAACACGCGCACACATATACACATACAAGTTTACTAGTTTGTTCGTAATCGCTGTTACATCTATTGTGTGAGCATCGTTAGGATGATATAAAGAAACTGAGATTGATTCTTTGCTTTTTCCTGAGTTTCAGTGTTATACAAACAATACTAAATAACTATAGATTTGTTTTAGACTCTTTAACTAGTCTTTCGACCGCATAGTAACTTAAAACTGATAATATTTCTCAACACAGACAGTCTGGTTATGAAGGGTATCGGTTTATACATGGATATATATATCTGATACATAATTGATCAGATCATGCAAGCTTAACTTGGGTTGTGGGTTTATACATGAGTATATATCTGATACATAATTGATCAGATCATGCAAGCTTAACTTGGGGTGTGGGTTTATACATGGGTATATATCTGATACATAATTGATCAGACCATGCAAGCTTAACTTGGGGTGTGGGTTTATACATGGGTATATATCTGATATATAATTGATCAGACCATGCAAGCTTAACTTGGGGTGTGGGTTTATACATGGGTATATATCTGATACATAACTGATCAGATCATTTTAGCTTAACTTTTGTTATTATTCTTTGTACCTGGTATGTGTGTAAAGGAACAGTGTCGTCTTAGAAAACAAAACATAACCCGACATCCCTTCAATAATGAGTCGAGCTAAGCTACTCTCGTCAACAGAGAATAGAAAATAATTGTTACAGGTTATCTATACAAGTCCAAAGAACGTAGTAAACATAAGCATGGTTGTGCTTTCATGAAGTTGTATATTCAATTTGATGTAATTTCGCGTGTACTGTGTGTTAAGGCTCGTCGAAGAAGAAAGCAAACTTGAGATTGAAACCTTCTTGAGTTTTCGTTTTCACTCGTGTGCTATTGCATATTTTAAACTGTTTAACAAAGAAAGAAAACACAAATTTTGTAATTTTACTCAAAAAAAACAAAAACGAAAGAATAAACAAATCCTGCTTGTTCCCAATTTAATTCTTATGTCTGTTCGTGAAAGAAACCTGCTTTTGTACCTAATATTGTTTACGCTTTTATACTTTAAATCAATGTATTTTGGTCACATAGTTATCTTACAATATGTGATTACATACAGAGTGTAAATATTTTATCAACTGACATGACAACTCCAACAAACTCACCTATTGATGCAACGAACCCACTGTTTCGCATAAGAATATTGGAATATCATATCTGCAAATCATAACAGATTTAAAATGGTGAGTGTTTATAGAACAATAAAATTATATTCCTGTATGTAATGTTTGGCAATGTGCGATTATCTTAAATAAAACATCTATAAATGTAAATTAGCCGAATGACTGCATTTATTGAGCTGAGAAAGTAGAATAACTTGGGAATATTTTATTTATAAAACAATAAAAGAAGGCATTTAGCCCTAATATGAAGGAGGGCACTGTTTAATAAATGTTTCAAGTTGAGTGAATCCGTTTAATTTCCACTGGTGTAACGAAGAGTTGGAGGAGAGAAAGACACGTTCATTCAACGAGAAATATAGAAAACACAAACATTTCTCAATGAATAGTTTAGTGGCACATTATTATTTATTTTATTTCAATATTAACATGATGAACACTACTACGCGATTTATCAAAGTTGTGTTGTGTCTTTCTAAAACTACTTGGTTATTTATTACCTGAAACGGTAGTTCACTACTAGGGATATAGTTGTTATCCAGTCTATGAAACGATGATATTTATCAGTTCTTATTTAACGCAGCAGTGTTCAGGGTTTAGTGGCTGGTTAAGATAGTTAATCGTACGTAGGAAGTTATATGGAGTATTTCGTAGTATTTTTTTTTATATAACACATTTATATGTGATTCACAGAATGGAATGATAGATTAAACCATAAGTGTTACCATAAGTAACACATGTTACTTGTTTACACCAGAATTTAACGTGCGCTTTATTTAAAATTAATTATAGAATTCCCCCCCCCCCCTACCCTGCTGGATCAGCAGTAAGTTTGAGGCTTATAACTCTAAAATTCGGGTTTTCATATCCGCGTTAGGCAGATCAAAGAAAGCCCAAACTAGTAAACAAATCACAGATTTTTCGTTAACTCGAGGATTTCATGTTTTCAATTTCAACGGCACCTCATGCGACACATGGGTTAAAGGACCAGGTAAAGAGACCAACAGAGTTCACATAGTCATCCCTAATTTTAGACTATAATGACCAGAAGGAATGTAGCCAGTCAGCATCACCCGCTCCATAAGATCAAAAAACTTTCTGTGGATCCTGAAACACAAAAATATATGGCATTATTGTATAATATTCATTATCAGGGTTAAGACTGTAATATACGTCAGCATAAACATAAAATAATCTTGTTTCAATAACTTGTACACATGTTATTAATGTACAGATATGTTTTCACAAAACTTTAGTTAAATATAAAACTGACACTTTCACTTCTCGATCACGAGACTACACTTTGATATAGAGGAGAGGGAAACAAGGTATCATGACAAGAGCTTAATATTACCAAACATAATAACAGCATAAAAAAACGACTGACATTGCACAAGGCTAGTGAAGTATAATTTTTCGATAACTAACAAAATTTAGATGGAAACTTTAAAACCCATGTTTTACAAAAAACAACCTTGATACGTTTTAATTGAAGTCTCGTATTATTAAAAAAACGCGACTTCATCTATTAATGTTGCAGTACATTTATATACTTGTTTATATGGTGTTATGAACAACGTGAACTTATGAAAGCTTAATTTGTGTTATTAATGTTTGTTTCTGGTGTGTGTGTGAGTGAAAGGTGCAGTGATGTCCTAGAAAAAAAAGCTCTGCAACCCAGTTTTATTGCTGAAAGTGTCATAAGAGCATGGAGCTCTCTGTAAAGAGCAAGTTTGATGACATACGTTCCTGAACATTCGTTGAATGATGAATTTGATGTCGTATAAACAGATCCATTTAACAATGCATATAAAAGTTCACAAAGACTAGGGAGTGATTCATTTCTGTTGGCTGAGCTGATATTCCGCAGATCTATACCCAGTGTTTTTCCATTCCTTTAGCACATTACAAACAGTGGATTTGGATATTAAGTATCGTGAATTCTCATGCCATCAGTGTTGCATCCAATAACTATTCCTCTTTGAAGATCTGCGAGTTCCTTTGTGGCATCTTAACTCCCACGTCTGAGGTATCTGATGCTACGTGTAAGCCATACGCAAGAAACACGTTCAGCGAGAACGGGTTCATAAAGTCAAGATATGCTGTATCAAGATTTTTGGAAATATAGTGTACGTACTTATGTGTGGGCATTACGCCTTTAATTCTCTCATAAGTGACTCGCACAAAAAATTGGTAAAATTATGTTTTTTCTTAGTGATACATTCGAAACGTATAGTTCCTCGTTTTTCAGAATTCGCTAATGTTTTGTAATTTTACGTTTCATGCAGTTAATTTGCTTATGTATGCAATATCACTAAATATCAATAATGCAAAATTATGCTAATTTCATTTTTCATAAAAATATTCAGTTGAAATTTCTGTTCTGTTTCGGAATTAAGTGAAATAAAGGTTTGATATATTAAGCGTACAATATTTTTGGGTAACGTTTTTGACCCAAATTTTGCCTAGATGTTTTTATAATTAGATACGCCTTTTATCATTCACAAAGCTTTATACCAAAAGTAAGTCTTAATTCATTTGTCTAAAATTGAAA